GCTGCCCATTGAGACGACGGGTTGCGTTTTAATTGTGATGCTCTCCCGGCTATCACACCGGCTATCTTGTGATGACTTCGGGGTTCAGTGTTCCATCCACGGTCTCTACACCAGGGGGGGCCTTGCTAGTTTAGTTATTGAGACTATTAGTGTCCGCAGCTAGTAGTCCCACGTTGCAACCGCAGCCCCCAATTAACCAGATGTTCAATTCCCTATTAAACATAGAGGTTTGTTAGTAATTTCACCTGCATTTAAGTTAAGGGTGTTAAGAATTTTCATTTAGGGTACTCAATGCACCTTGAATTGTAAATGGGTCTATCTGCACGTTGAGCCATCACTTCTGGTTTTAGTGAATGGTTAATGGAATTAAATGTTCTATTAACATTCTGCAAGAACAGCTGCTTATCCAGCCTTAAATAGAATAGGAAATGACCACAAGAGTTCCCTAAAGAGTTCTTGTGTCTTAAAGCTTTCTGTCATTTGCTTGGCACCACATATTGGATTCTTTTTAATTTTGTTTTTCCTCGTTATTATTACTGTAGAGGTTGTGAAGGTCAGATGTGTGGGATGAGCTGTTTATACATCTGGTCTTTTTTTTTTGAGATATATACAAGAGTTGTTACATTCTTGTACAGCCACTAGTACGCGTAGCGTTTCGGGCAGGTCCCTGGAATACGATCCCCGCCGCGAAGAATCGTTGTTACAACCAAGTACACATTTTACTGTTGCGTTAAACAGAGGCTACAGTTAAGGATTTGCGCCCAGTAAATCCTCCCCGAACAGGATACGAACCCACGATAAAGCGCTCGCGGAACACCTTGTCTTCAGACGAACCAACTTGCTAGTGTTCTATATATGCGGCTCCATTTGTAATTTCCGTGTCTTTTCCAGACACGTTTAACTTGCAACTAAGAGAAGAAATCTACACATTTACATACCACAGAGTCTATCCCAGATTAAGAAAGTAATTAGAACTAGAGCAATGCAAAATATGTACAGTGACCACAACACAGCAGTTGCAACATCAGGATCTGCGGGTTGGTACAAGAATTCAACCAACTACGAACCACTTATTTTGATCAAAGGGAGCAGAAGAACGTGTAAGTACACTTACACGCATCAAGCTTGGATATCCATGGGCATGGGAAACAGGCTTACAGATTCCGGAAGATGAGAGGAAATGTCAGAACTGTGGAGAAATGCCCGATAGACCACTGGAACATTATCTAACACAGTGCACAGTTACAAACCCAATAAGATTTCAACTAAGATTCAACAGAGCAGAAGAAATTGTTAAACACGTGGGGGCATTATCATACTGAAGCGAACATAAGAGTCATAAATACTCATATTCCGCCTAAGTAAAACGGAAACAACTAACACTTACTGAGCCAGCCAGAGGCATAGGGCCCGCGAAGGTATATTCCTGAAAAAAATCCCACATCGAATTGGTACGCATAAATAACTACGCAGTTCAGGGGTTAACGATGCTATTTACAATCCAAGACAGAACTATTCAATAAGTGATAAGCAAACTTAAGCACCCGATTTAACGTCCTACGTGAAGATTGTCCAACACAGAAGTCTGTGCGTGTTTCACAAAGTTCACAAAATGCAATTCCTGACCTAACCCCCCAAGCTTGCAGTTGTTGATACAACGGCAGCCTCGCTTCTTGCGAAGTAGTCGTTCGAACACCGATGATCCAAACGATTAGGCACCATTCTCGTATCTTTTCCAAACGCTATTTATTCTTACTGGCTCTGTGATTTCTCCTGACACTGACGGTATCTTACTCTCTCTTCTTCCACCTTCTCCACCTGTCTTCATTGTATCTTCTTCTCCTCTCAAGATCAAACCAGAGGTGCTACAATGGATTGTTGGATACAGACACGTCATTTACACGAACAGAACAATTTAATGCTCAATTCACCCTAAATGCGTTAACGTTCGCGGCAGCAGACGCCACTAAAATATACAAGTGTAACACCTCAGGTGTAGCACCCCAGGTGTAACACCCCAGGTGTAACACTCCAGGTGTAGCACCCCAGGTGTAACACCCCAGGTGTAACACCCCAGGTGTAGCACTCCAGGTGTAACACCCCAGGTGTAACACCTCCGGTGTAGCACCCCAGGTGTAACACCCCAGGTGTAGCACCCCAGGTGTAACACCCCAGGTGTAAATGTTCACCACCCACACCCCGTCACGTTACGTCTGACAGGACCTGACGTGACAGCATTCTCTCCCACAGCCCGTTATGGACCGAGCACCACAAAAATAACAAGTTTATCACTAGCAGCCAAAGCATGAAAGGAAGTTTTGACTGGTTAAACACCCCTTTGTTTCATTATACAAAACAATATACGAATTCGGTAGTGGACAATCGTTCAGTTTAGAGATCTATATATAGCGAGCTTCGCCGTCCCCGTTTAATAGTGTATTTTAGGTGCAATGAATTTACAAGGTTTCTTTTGTAATTATTTGTGGAATTTAAATCTTAGATTTTTAATTAATGAATATAAAGGGTGTGTGTGTTTCCCATGTGGTATTTGTGGGATAGTGAATGCTAGCGAGTGTGGGATAGTAAAAGGTGGTGTATATGTGGGTGGGTTCCTTTGAGGATGTGGTTCTATATACCTAGTTGTGCTTGCGTGGGACACACACACACACACACACACACACACACACACACACACACACACACACACACACATCCTGCCGTTCCTGTTAGGTACCCGGGTATATCATGCTGTTCCTGTTAGGACCCCGGGTAGATTATGCAGTTCCTGTTAGGACCCCGGGTATATTATGCTGTTCCTGTTAGGACCCCGGGTATATTATGCAGTTCCTGTTAGGACCCCGGGTAGATCATGCAGTTCCTGTTAGGTACCCGGGTATATCATGCTGTTCCTGTTAGGACCCCGGGTAGATTATGCAGTTCCTGTTAGGACCCCGGGTAGATCATGCTGTTCCTGTTAGGACTCGGGTAGATAATGCTGTTCCGCTTTCATCGCCGTGTTAAAGAATGGACAGAAACTCACTTGAATGCCAACAGAGAAGGATGATAATTAGGAATTAGAGAACTCCCAGGAATCAGAAATCTCCGTTATGAAGAGAGATTAAAAATCTTAATATACATTCTCTTCAAAGACGAAGAGTAATTGTGGACATGATTCAGGTATATAAATAGATGAATGGGTATAATAAAGGAGATCTAAATAAGGATTTAAATATCAACACAAAATAGAACACGAAACAGGGAATATAAAGTGGATATGTTTAGATTTAGAAACGACCTGGGTAAATACTGGTTTGAAAATAGGATAGTTAATTTATAGAACATATTACCTGATAAAATAATAGACTTGGGATCACTGGACTGTTTCAATTGTTGGTATGACATTATATATATATATATATATATATATATATATATATATATATATATATATATATATATATATATATATATATATATATATATATATATATATAATATATGAATGAGTTTGTGAGGATATAAATAAGAACTACTTTGTATGGATCAATAGGCTTCCGTAGATTGGCATATTCTTATGTTATCAATTCTCAATTCAAGCCGTTTACTCTGGGCTAGACATCTTTTCTCAATCTTTAGCGGCTTTATTTATCATTATTAAACAGTTAATGAGCTCTGAAGCACCAGGAGGCTGTTTATAACAATAACAACAGTTGACTGGCAAGTTTTCATGCTTGTAAACTGCTTAATAAATGCAACCAAAGCCGTCAAAGATTGAGGAAAGATGTACACGTTCGTAAGTACTTGCGTAACTGCTTCGTGAATCTGGCCCCTGGTTGTGTTGCCAGTTTGTGTATTTTTGAGAATGCTATCATATTTCTTAAAGTTTATATTAGGGTTAATAGTATGCCAGAATGTGTGTAATACTATAATGTATGTGATTGTGTCTGTTTGGGAGTATTTACTTCCATATGTAGTGTGTTAGTTTAGAGTTGCGTGAAACGTGTTGGTAACTCTGTGAGTGCGAGCGAGGAGGGTGTGTGTACAAGGTAGTTGTGTGTCGCCTTAGACGCCGGCTGGGGTTGGGTCTGGAAACATCTCTCTTTTATCAAGTTAAGTCGTGTATTATTTTGTTCTATTTTAACGTGTGATCACGTAAAACTTTTATTACGTTAAAGAGTAATCACTTGTCTATTTTAACGTGTGATCATGAGCCCAGTGGAGATAATTTTTGTCAGATATAAGAATATTATATTACTATAATTTTTACTTAATGTTTGTGTTCCTCCCTCACAAGGAACTGGTGTCTTACTGTCACAGGGTTTGGGGAGGATCAGACCTTTAGACAGGATTGAAATTTGATAATCCTGGTGAATATTATTCCTGTGTAGAGAGCAGGAACACGGCTCAAGTGGCAGAGTGTGTAACAGTACCCTCTCATAATTTTGGTTAAACCATAGGTTATTCCTGTGTAATTAATTACACGTGTGTTTGAACAAATCCACAAGGGCCGTGACGAGGATTCGAACCTGCGTCCGGGAGCATCCCAGACACTGCCTTAATCGACTGAGCTACGACAGGGTTATGTGTTTATTATACCAATAAACACACATACATGTGTGTTTATTGGTATGCTTGTATTAGTAAAACCGATCAGCAGGGAGGAGGGAAGTTTAACTAGCCATTTTGGTGTGGAGAATGGAAAGTTGAGGCAGTGATAGAAAAGGTAGAATGGGTTGGAACATGGGTGAGAAGTCCTTTGCCTTACCTCACAAACCTCTCACCCCTGTTGACCACACCACACACTAGAAGTTGGAAGGAACGACGACGTTTCGGTCCGTCCTGGACCATTCTCAATCGACTTGAGAATGGTCCAGGACGGTCCGAAACGCCGTCGTTCCTTCACCTTCTAGTGTGTGTGGTCTGGTCAACATACGTCAGCCACGTTATTGTGACTCCTCGCCTGCATATGGATCTCACCCCTGCTCTCCACCCCCTTACAGATCAGCACACTGGTGACGTCCCCGGGAGAGAGAGGCGGTGCGGGGTGCGACAAAACAGCTCGTGCCCTCTGTCGAGTGGGCCAGGCGGTGAACGTTGCTGTCGACCGCTTCGTCACCGTGGGGGAGACCATCGCCGATGACAACCCGGAGATCAAGGTGGACATGTACGAGGCCTGCAAGGAGGCCAGAGCAGCAGGTATGTCCCTTCGCCAAGCGCCTTCCGTCTCCCTTTATGCCCTCTACTGAAGAGGTCAGTATCTGACCTCACACATGCAGGCTTTGTTTACACAGGTGAGTACAGGAGTAGACGCCTTCTGGCTCCTGTTAGTGTGCTTCGAGCTGTACCCACTACAGTTCCCGGGAATACGACCCGTCATCAGATTAACAATCAGGTGCCTAATTACTGCTGGGTAAACGCAGGCGAGCAGTTAAGGACTGGTGCCCAGTTAACCCACGCCCCTAACCCCCTTCCCCCCCTAGTTTGTTACAATTATAGTACCTGATTTGGGGATTAGTTCATTGGTTGTAGTGAGCATTGCAGCTATTGTCTTTAGGCAGCTTCTATCTTCGGTAGCACAGATAATATCTTCCTCTGTCTTTGCGTGCTGTTCTATGATATATATGAAGTTTTTGAAGAGAACAGTCCTCTGGTGTTCTGACTCAGTCCTTACACTCCGAGACCAAATCTCTCGCTCAACCAACTAGTACCACAGCTCAGGATCCAGCAGGTTTCGGAAACGCTTTAACGTAATTATTTTTTCAAGTCTGACAGTGAGATATACGTCTCTGATTTGCATCGCCTCTCAAACTATGCCTCGCATTATCTTACTAATTACTGCTTGATCATACTTGTTTTTAAATTTCCGGAATATTTCTGCACGTGAGTAGCTCAATTCTCTTGATTATCTCAGTCTTATCTCTCATCTTAACTAGGATTGGAATAGCCTTATCTCGCCATTCCTGTCAGTTTGTGACCATTCCTGTCAGTTTGTGACCATTCCTGTCAGTTTGTGACCATTCCTGTCAGTTTGTGACTAGTTTCTTTGTATGACAATCTTTCAATGCGTGAAAAATTAAACACTGCTTCTTCCTCGAGAAATTTGTTATGCTCGAAGATAAACCATTCAACTTCTCTCTCTTTCCAGTCTCATTGATTTTTAAAGATTTTATCTATTGCTAGTTGGGTTTTGCTGCAATCCCATGCTTTATCACCTCTTTCTGGAGTTTTATCTCTGCACTATCTCTTTCCTGTAAGAATTCTCTTCTCTATATTTACACTAGGAACTGTTACTCCTATTTTTTCTGTCTATCTGCTTGCATTTTCGTGTGTAATTCATGTTCCTTTACCTTCAAATTCCAATGTCATTTCAGAACATCTGGATTCTTAATTTTCCCCCGTTCTGGTTTCTCAAACTTTTACTTATGCTTTCACTTCTCTCTTCTTGTTCCTATACCAATTTAATTTCTTCCACTCGTTCTCCCTATTTGCATCTCCAAGCCAGTTTCCTCTCACAAATCATTGCCGATACACAGGCATAAATAATGAGCCTCTCGGGTGTCGGTGAAGCTCCTCGCTTCTCCCATTCGTGATGAGTTGTGTTGAACTACCAGACGGAGATATCACTACTTTAGGAAATTGGGGAAAACTCGGCCAAGAAATTACGCACTCGAACAAGTACCCCAATTAGGATAATTCCAAATACTTTATCTTAATACTTTAAATTGTAGGGGTTTGACAAACCAAATTCTGAATTAGGCCAAACTGTTCCCATGAATTTATTTGTTTTTTGGAGGAATCGTAAAGCTCTCGTTGATGAAAATATATCTCGGGGAAATTTTTGAGTAATGCTTAACATGAAATAAAGAAACCACATGATTACTCACTTTCAAATTGAACATATATATATATGTTCACTTTTAAGTTGAACATATATATATATATATATATATATATATATATATATATATATATATATATATATATATATATATATATATATATATATATATATATATATATATATGAAGAAGTTTGGGTGGATTAAAATAGGAGCTGCCACGTATGAACTAACAAGCCTTCTGCAGTTTCCTTAAGTTATTATGTTACACGTATGTTCATCTCTGTTCTTGTATAAATGTTCTCGTTCTTTGAATCACACACTCGATATTCTCCCTGTTGGATCTATTTGCGATATTGCGTACGGTCCGTGAAGGCTCCGGCCCCCACGCCATTACCAGGAGAGAGATGATACCGAGGCTGCTATGGGGTGAGGTGGTGGTTGTAGGAGTGTGGTGGGAAGAGGGAAGCAGGTGTGTGGTAGATGGTGTCAGGTGTGGTGGGGGTGAGAGATAGGTAGGTAGGTCGCGTGTAATGGTGGTGGGTAGAGGAGGGTAGGTGCATGGTCAGGAGTGTGGGAGGGGTTGTGGGAGTTGTGGGGTGTCCTAGCTGGGGTGTTGCGGCTGGTCGCCCAGCAGCAACACCTCAGGGGAAATATCGGCGTGAGTCCTCAACACCGGAACACTGGGATGGGAGGCGAGGGAATAAACTGGTACACACTGTTGTTCTTGCCCAGGGATACTTGTATACCTTCAGGGGGAGAGTCTGTAGCTTCTGTAAAGAACTGAGATCTTTCTGGGATCTCTCATAGAAATTTAGGGCGCTGGCTAGACGACGCCACACAAAACGAATCCACGAAAAACCAATGAAACTGCGTGAGATCAGGATTATGTCACTGACTGAAGTACAACAACGACGATTACTGTCGGCATGAGCCGTCTAAAACGGAATAGTTCCCGATGATTAATAGCGACAGAATATGTGAAGCAGGGAGGTATTCTCACAGTACGTTTAATGACTTCACTACAGCCACACTGTGGGACTACAACTACAACTACAACAACAGCCTGGTTGATCAGTCCAGCAACCAGGAGGCCTGGTCGACGACCGGGCCGCGGGGACACTAAGCCCCGGAAGCACCTCAAGGTAGCCTCAAGGTAGCCAAGGTACACGTATGAACGTCGTTCGGGAGCATGACAGGAGCTCACGACAGCTCACGACAGTAGGGAGCATCACAGGAGTGCAGGGACCGGGCCGCGGGGACACTAAAAGCCCCGAAATCATCTCAAGATAACCTCAAGATCTCAAGATGAAAACTATCAAAGGAAGGCCAGACTCCATACCAGTACAATTCAACCACAGCACACTAGGCTCAGATATAATAGGCAGTGAAAAGTTTTATTCCAATAAAATTTTGGGGTTCCATATGGTAAGGTATTTATTGGAAGAGAGCGTTAAGCTAGTAGGATTATATAGCATTTGTTGGGGATTTAAGAACAAGGAGCTATAGGATGTACGACAGTAAAGGTGCCCAATCACTTTGACCATAGTGGGAGTTACGGTGAGGAGAAAGCACTAAGCCTGTATAGCTTTGTAACGGACCTTTGGGGATTGAACTCTGACCTAGAAGGAGCGAGGGTGTTGCTGTACAAGCCTATGCAAACAACAGAAGTCCACGACTCTTTAACCACCTTCCAGCAGAAATATTCCAGGAAATATCACTGGAACACAAGTGGAAATTTTCTAAAGAAAACTTGACAAGTATTTTTTAATTATTGGATTTTTTTTTTATTATTGGATCAGCTTGGCTGAGGTGAACATAGAGTTCTGTGGACTACGGGAATCGACCAGGTTTAGCCACGACGGCAGGGAGTTGATACTGGGAGTAGTTCTGAGAGTGACTTTCTAAAGATGGAATTTATACCTTGTGTAGTGTTAATGTGCTACAACCCCACCAAATGAATTTCTTCTGTAGCTTTCCTAAACGTTTGATAACCTTCCAGGCTTTTTTGAGTGAAATAAATTGATGAGTTAAAAATTAGCATTATAAAAAAATCACTAAAACTCATTGTCATTTTTTTAGTTATAATTTTTCAGCAGTTTCTGTTTATTTAACTGTATCTTGCTTTAATAGCATCTGTTTTTTTCTTCACAATATGAACGTTGAAAGAAATTCTCAGAAACTGAAAATATACTGTTAGCATTATTGACTAGACGTGGAAGGTTGGCGAGGGACAGCTGTGAAACCCTGAGACTTAATGTGCTGTTTACATTATGCCAAGTGATCTTCGTCGTCACTTAAGGTAGAAAGCAACCTCTTAAGGGCTGTAAACTGTTTCATAAATATCGACTCAGGTACCAAGGATAAGAGCTAGAGATGTCGTAAGTGGACGGGGATGTGCTTGGTGGGTCCCCAGAGTACTCCAGTGGTGAGACACACACACACACACACACACACACACACACATCTCCAGCGCCGCCCACCATCAGCCTGGTCTTCCCTCACACATTATGTGATGTAATAGCCCACAGGGCTCTTAGGCCAACAGAGATCTCATTTCCTACAAGAGAAGTGAACGGGTGACCTCTCACCCAGGCCAAGGACGGATGAGCAGCAAGGTAGGTCAGCTGCCGAACTCATCACAGAACGACTGGATTGCTTCTCTGGCAAACTTCTTCTGCCAGTCACCGAACCAGTTATTCGACCAGCCTGACCCAGCAAGCCAGCCTAATCTAGACAGTCTCCACATAAATGCCCAGTTATATAACCAGTTACATAGTTTGCCGCTACCTAGCTACAAAGTTATCTAGTTATCCTGTACCCAGCTAAACAGCCTCCACCTTGCTAGCCATGCAGTCTCTGCCTGTTTTGATAGCTTTTAACTTGCTAGCCAGCTAGCAAGCTAGTTGGCTAGCTTGCTGGCTTTGGACTTGGGTACCGAAGCACTTAGTGACCTGCCATCTACTACCCAATTGCCTAGCTAGTTATCAGTCATTCTCCACCCCAGCTAGGCAGTTTCTTCTCCCTAGCTAGTCATTCCCCTAGCCAATCTCTACTTACCTATACCACTTCATTCACCCACTCAAAATGTCACTAAAAGATGGCATTTCATTCTTCCTTCAGGCAGGAAGGCATCCACTACCACGGTGTGGATTTGCTTGGTCAAAATATTGCACACGTGTTCAATGTCATTTTTCCTAGGGAGTGTGTTGCATCTGCAACAGTGACTGTTGCTGGCATCACCGTAACGACAGTGATGGTGGAACGTGTAGACACGGTGGCACGTTTGACACTGTTGTTTGCATTCTGCCTCACACTTGTGGCTGGGATATTCGTATAATGGTAACGGTAATTGGGC